TCTGGATATGTATATGATAGAATCAAGCCGTATTCCAATAATATATAGTATTGGGATAAGGTATGCGCATACTAGTAAGACCTTGACATCAGGATGCAGTCAGAGCATGCAAGACATTGATAAAAACAAAAATCCGATAAATTCGATCAACATAGGTCTCAAAATAACAACTTATAATCTAGACTCTGGAATACAAGAGACTACTTCTAAATGGATTTTATGGAGTTATATTACAAATAGTGCAGTAAAACTCAGTTTATGCAACTATCGAAATAAAAGAACTCGAGTGGATCGCATTATTCTCCATAGTGATGAGAATAACATTCACACATCCTATCGGACAAGTGATCTCGTCGGATAATAATGAGTCGAATTGCTATACTTAATAAGTAATATAAGCACAATTAGACTATCATAAGGACAGACTCGTTTAGATTCATCAAGAACAATAAAGCGAACAATTCGACGACCAGATTGATTAAATATTATTTTAGCATTTTGTACAGTGGTGGCTCAGAAGCGTTGAATCTAAAGGGAAAAATGTGGAAGAACAAATGCTAAAGCAGGAGGTAAAGATGATTAATTAATGTCTAATCTATGTGAAATGCCGTCTAATAAGAATGTCTAAATTCCACTACTCGTGATCCAATCCTATAATATGAAGTAACCGATAGCTAAAAAAATTGACCAAAGAATTAATGGAAAGAATTCATAATTCAATAAGTAAGGCGATAACAAGAAAGTAAAAGAATTTTGAAGAAACTGTGCAAATATAGATGACATAAGGATCTAAAAATAACTTAGCCAACATTTTTAAGACGAATAAAAAGTTGTTCATGGGAGAATTATAATGAAATCCGACCCGAAAACCTCTCTGAAGTAATTCAGAAAGAACAATGTCTAAAAAACGAGCATTTACCCAAGGTGAAAGAACGTCATAGCAACCAGCGTCTACCACTCTTTTGGCAGCCACATGAAGACGCTTGCAAGGTATTTTGCTCCAAGTGGCAATTACGGCCATAAGTAAGGACTGTTTGAGGACAGGGGTAATAGTCTCGAGGCTTGTATTGATTGTCTATAGGGAAATAAAAATAAAAATACCAGTAATATGCTTACAAAAATACGCAAATTTAACTATTTCCCTGAGATTGCTTAGTATTGGTTTGACCTCGTCTTCGCAACTTAATCTGCAGCAGGAAGACCTTGTAGAAAATCCTCAATCATAGTATTTGTTATTTCCCGCATCGGACCATTTACTTGGCCCATTCCCAGACGTTTTGTCATCTTAGTCGGCGTCATCAGTGAGAGGCGCCATAGTTAGCACAAAGTTACAATTTATAAAGGAGCAAAGCTGTGATAACGATGGCGCTTCTCATTTAAGATGTCAGTGAAAGGTCTGAGAATGTATCAAGTCGATGGTCCGATTCTGGAAATAATGAGTACTATGGCAAAGGACGAAGGACTAGATACGTTCCATAAGGTCTCCTTGCTATTCCGATCAAGTCAAACCAACACTATAAAGCTAAAGGAAATTGGGACTAAATAGAAGGCCACATCGTCTCGGTCTTCATATAATAGATTGATTAAACTGAAAAGAGCCAGATAAACAACTGACCTGGTCAACTGCAGCATTTAGGCTGAATCTAAGATCAGCTAATTGGAGCAATACTTTTTTAAGAATCTCGCTGACTTCTTGAAGGCGATTATAGATCACAGAGTAACCAGTCATGTCTTGATCCATTTGTACAACGGAATATTTGAATCGCTCGAGTAAGGGGGATGCCGTGGCGTCTTTCTAAAGAGGATAACAAGTGAATTAGAAAGCTAAGAGGAGAACATCCCAAAATGCGAGAACCAAAAGCTTATATGTATACTTACGTTGAGCAGATGCTTCATTCGATCATAAAGACCCTGAGAATCGAGAACCAGGGTGATCGGTTGATTGAGCTAAAGAGAAAATTGTAAAAGAAGAATATTACTTTACACTCTTGAGCATAATTTGCGTATGTCAGGTCCCAGGAATAAAATTGTTAGAAAAATTTAAAAATAAGATATGAGTGGTCCGAGTATTGAAGATACATGGTAAAGGTAATAAGGAAAGATAAAAACGGCAACTGCGAACAATAATAATATGTAAATAATCCCTAACAAAAATAAGGCGCATAGGAGTAAGAAGTAGACGCGACGGGAGACTCAAGTAGATCTAGATATTCGATATTATAGTAGTGAATTATGCAGAATTATGGTGAAGGGCAGTAAAATCGAATATCGTAAATAAAGAAATCATAGGCTCGGCTCCCTAGTAAAAAGAAGCTGGAATCGCTGCTATGAATAATATCTCTCGAAAATTGGATAGTTGAGTTCATTTGCATCACATGATCAAGGCAATTTTGCTTAGCACATGCTCACGACAAAATAAAAAGAGAATATGAGGTTAAAGGTAATGAAGAACAATACCTCCCTACTAGTTGGTTGCACTTGTAGCATTATTTGATAAATTCGGGGAAGCAACACAAATTCTAAAAGTGACAAGTCTACGGTACTGGAAATTATCATTACTGCTATGGCAGAGGGCTTAGAGAAAGATGTGTTGATATAGCTTACCCTGACAACACGAACAAGTTGCGAAAACGAGTTCAAGGGACGTCTAATACAGCAAGAGGAGAGGCCAC